CTTAGGCTAGTTATTGTGCGTTACTTGCCGAGCTCGCGGAGGATTCATGTCCCTCGACTTTCGCTGAAGCCATGACTTCGAGTGCTTCGAAACAGTGGGAGAAAGCGATTGCCGCTGAGTACAACTCGCTCATGTCGAATGGAACATGGATTCTGGTTGAGCGCCCGATCGGAGCCAATGTGATTCGCTCGAAATGGGTTTTCCGCGTGAAGTATAACACCGATGGCTCGGTCGGCGGAACGAAGTTCTCACCCTCCTTGACTCGCAAGAGAACCGGAACTTCAAGATCATCTTCAGGTCCGAGTTCAAGAACCGCTGGTTGCTTCGGGGTGGATTCAACAAAACGGACGTCTCTCGAGATCTTGATATCATTAGTACCGGGGAGCCTCATGCGTTACGACTTAGACTTCTCATCGTAGCCTTCAAGGATTCGACGGTCGCTTTTGGCGTCCTGCTTGTCCCGTTTATGCTTCTCGACGTGAACATGGATTCTGGTTGAGCGCCCGATCGGATAAGAATTTATTCTCCGTTGACTTGGAGAATAAATACTCTACCGATGCATCTGTTCGTTTAAGCCCATCTCTGACCGCCCGCAGACTATTGTCCCGAAGCTGTCCTGGGATTTCCTCTCGCCAGCTAATCGTAAGCGTCGGAGTTCCGGTCGAAATCCCGGTGGCGGAAGGCCATGACACTCGATCCAAAATACCACTTCGCGCGGAGATTCAGCGCCTCTCTCGTGCGCTCGTAGCTGTGTTCTGTCTTGGATCCGACCGCGTCCCGAAAATCACCAGAGTGGGACCCGCGGTGTCAGCCCGTTCGCTGTCTAGAATCCATCGTTGTATTCCGTGGGCGGGAAAGGCCCATGATCGGACCTTCGAGTACAATTGTGGAAGTCGAGGAACCTCTCGATCGCTTCCTCGAAGACTGATGGTCGCCCAATAGTCGAGTCGTTAGAGCGGTCTGAACATCAGATGTGGCTTTGACTTGCTACGCCTTGGAGGCTGCTGTGGTGCTTCGCTGCTTCGAATCCAGAAGCCGACCGTCGTGGAATTCGGCTCCTATGAGTTTCATTGGTATAATTCGCACGGCCCCTGACTCAGCAGTGCCTCGGAAACTACCCTCGGTACGGGATCCTGGGCTTGTGTACTTCCCTTCCAAGTTTCCAGTGGCGGAAGAATGACCCGAAGCAATCAAGATGCATCGGAGTCTATGCATGGCGTCTCCCTTTTGTCGATGAAGATTCTCCGGATAGATTGCCGCTCGATAGTACCCTACTACAAGATGAGGACTCAAACTGGTTTACGTTTTCCATCTCGGACGAAGCTGAGGTCCCTGGCGGCAAATCCAATGTCGGTGCAGGATGTGGTGGCCAGATCTCTAAATGAAGTCACAGGAGCCCTCTCGAGTTGAGCCCGATGTGGAATCTTGGGTAAAACAGAATCAGCTTCACAGTCCCAATGAGCGGTACGAGACAGTTCGCAGGCATTCCTCGCTTGGGGATCATCTCATTTGATGCATGATGTTCGCGTCTCCGATGTTTATCTCGGGGCCCCATGACCTTCGAGAATGCCTCCTGCCTTGTCACAGTTTTTAGCGAAGGCCTAGCTCCGCAACCAATCGAGGAATATTCAATGTCTTCCAGAGCTCCATTAGTTCCTGAGCTGAACTTTTAAAATAACGAAGTTAGAGTGGTTGGGCTGATACGCTCGGGAGACATGAATCAAGCGGAGAAAATGCCGGTAGAAAGCCACGAGAAGTCCGATAAGCGGGATGATCAAGTTCTGCGATCCGCAAGTTATGCAGCGCCACCGAAGTCGGCCGAAGGCGACGTGGTTAAGGATTCTAGCGATTTAAAAGCCTCCAAGGATGGAAGCCTACTCACTTTTCGTGAAACGGCATTCCTGAAGGATCTGCCGAAGTTGTCTAAAAACTACGCGGAACACGAGCTGGAAGATGCGAGATACCTTGTTGCAAAACTTTTCTCTACGGAGGAGCTCCAGTTTCCCGAATGAGGCTACAGAGATGTCGGATCTGCTGCGAGATTGATAAAATTCATATTTTGATCACAGAGTCCAGTTCTTGCTCTGTCAGTCCTCCCTCGGCATCTTGCCTCTCGGAGCACGCTTCTCGGGATCCTCTAGGTTGGCCCAGAGTTGGGTGGAGATAGATTCTATTCCAGTCGACATCCGGAGATGTTCCATTGCCCTCTTACTATCACGACATGATTGCTAGCCGTTGCATCCTCGAGGGGCTAGACCGTGGCCCGATACGGACGCTGGTCAGTCACCCTGTTCAACCAGCAGAGTTGCTCAAGATCTGTAGCTTGATATTATGTCGTCCGAGGAATCATTGTGGCCGTAGGCTGGATAGAGAGGTCTCTGACCTGAGACCTCTCGAGGAAGAGAGCTCTCTGGATCCCACCACGATCAAATAAGTCCCGAATGACTTCGCGGCTCAGTTCAGTCAAAGCTTCGACTTATCGTGCGAACGTGCACACCCGTAACGATACCGAAGGTGGCGAGACTTCGATCTCTTGCCGATCAACACGCGGGTACCTAGACTAAGTCCACTCAAGAACACTTCATGTACATGTCCACCATGCTTACACCACCATGCTTATGTACATGTCCATGCTTCCGGAATCCGCTCTCGGGAGCGACTCAGAATCGATAAGACTCGAGACGTCGAAAGTCTGGTCGTGTTGGGCCGCGCGCGGAATACAAACAGATACACAAAAACGCGGCTTTAGCCCAGGAGAGTGATCATTCGGGTTTGCAAACGCGGATTCGCTGAATTTGCTTGAAGAGCTTGATTCTGATGGAGGGCGATTAGGCTGTTTCCAACTCAGATCGCGCCTACTCCCAAGTCGTCTACAGAAGTGCCTCTTCGAGCTCCGAATCGGCCGGATGCGCTCCGCGAGGGTCCCTATGCCGGAGAGTGGACTCGAATACAGTAGTCGACTCCAAATTTGGCGGAGCAGAGGATCGATTGTGCGACAGTGGAAAATGCTACACGCAATCGTCGCCCTTGCATTAATTTCTTCAATTTTTTCGGACACAACTTGGCTGACGACCGACGGATGGTCGGATGGTCAGCACGTCTGTAACTTCTCATGCCGATGTGCACGTCACGAACTGGAACTCACTCCGTGGGACGACGTCGCTCCCAAGAGACGAGGCGAGGGTTCGATCTCTGCTGGCGACCGAATTTCCTGACGCAACACCAGTTTCCCGGCGTCGATCCACCCGGGAACATTTGCATCCGGAACCTCTCGTCGGAAGCAATGCCCAGTCCATGATCCTCGAGAAATCGAAGTTCGGCTGTCTGGTCCAGCCCAAAAACTGTGAGAACTTGTCTCACGGCCCGTTCTGGCGAAAATCCAGGCTATACACGTATATCGAACCAGGACTTGGTCGCGGTACTCACGCGAGCCCTAACCAGCATAGGTCGCCTGAAAGAAGCACTAGGAAGGGGAGAAGCGACGATTCGGAGTATGACTCGGGACGATTTATCCACTCGAATTCCTGACACAGTTCAGCTGATAAAGCTTTCGAAGCCGGCTGGCTCCTGTCTGCAAACGTGGATTGACGTGCCGCAAATGCAAGCGAAGAGTTTTCTTGAAGCCTCGTTGCAGCCCTATCAGTAGGCGCCTGGAACGGATTTGACTCGAGTGGATCCATCGTCGCAATCTGAACGGAAAGAGTCGAAGTCATTGTTGTGGACCCAACTGTCCGAACGCATATATGGACACAGCCTCATTGGTCAGAAAGTCAAAGCACTCTCTGGAGATCTCCCCGCGAAGCGCACCGCCCGCCTGTGTGCCCGCGATAGACTACGTCGGTCCGAGTCGGGGGACAGAGCCCGTTCTCTGCGCATCTCGGAGTCTTCATGGCAAAGAGGAGGATGCTCATTGTATGTGATTGTCCTCGCAGGAGACGAGCATGGTTCACATGGGTAGCTCGGGCAGGATACATTTTCCTTTCATTCCCGGGGAGAAAAACTCCGTGGTGAAACTCACAAGCTCGGTTTTCCCTATCATTCCGTGCGACCTTTTCCTCCGAACTCCTGGTTTGTCGCCTGTCGCGGCGCCAAGCTATTTAATGTATTACATATACGTCTCCGTGAATACATTCACGTAAAAAAAGTTTGAGAAATCTCTGTTCCCTTCCCGTGTCTCTCTTCTTCCTTCGGCAGCGCCATTTGAGCATTCTGGGGGACGGATTTTGTTCTCGTCATTCGACGGGGAACCGGAGGCACGTCCGGACCGCGAGGCTCTCGCCGCTCAAGGCACATGTACACCTGAGCGTGGATCTTGTCGAGAGCCGGAGAGGCTCGAAGTCGGTTCGGAAGGGACACGAGATCACAGAATATCAGCCCGGAGGAAGGACAGAAGCACGGACCGGATAAATGAAACAGGCCTGGAGAAGTCCGCTATCGGTTTCTAACTGCAGTTCTCGTCTGATATCCAGATGAACGTCTCGCCGGCTCCCCACGAATTGACTTGTCTTTGAATTCGCCAACTTGGCTCCATTGTGTCATCATGGAAGCGTTTGTGTGAGAGGGAGAGTGTTTTTCTCCGCTTTGAGCGGATGGAAATTCGCTTGTGCATTGGTTCGTGGCGGTCGTGTGTGTGTGTGTGTGCGAAGATATTTGTTGGCATTGAAAATGGTGACATGAATCGATAGGGAGCGAAACCCCGGCTTTTAGTTTCGACTCCCTTGCGTTCGGTTACATAACGTCACCGAGTGGCATAGCGCGCTGCTCGCCTGTCTGTTTGCCGGTCCGCTTGTTGGCTTCCAGATCATTTGAGCAAACGGACAACGCAAATACGGGGAGATATCGAAATCACAAATCAGATATCATAAACATGAATTCCTCGTTTGACTGACTCCGTCATCCTTGCGAACTCCTCACTTTTTCTGCTGGCGTAATTCAATTCTTCAGGAGCGAGCGATTTTCCGGGCGCTGTTCGGTCGTGAAAAAAGAACTCGGAACGATTGTGATATTTTTGCTTCTCTTGTTATCACCTACATCCGAAGCCATTCAGTTTATTGAGGCTTCCCACATTTCGATAATTACAACCGTATCGATAATAATTTATTCATTCATTAGTTTCAATAAAAACACCCCCACTATCACCATCTCGATCATCGTCATCAATCGCATCCGAACAACGTCTTGTGCTGCCGAAAAAGTGTGCTAGCTCAGCTCTAGCTAACTGGTTGTACATCCAGCCAAATAGATGTCGTAGATGCGCCTTGATCAGTCGATCGATAGAATATAGTATCAATCGATCGATAACGATAAAACACAGAATACAATCATGGTATAAATTTCAATTTCATGAACTAATTTCCGAGGTATGCCGAGAACAGACGCGACAGAACTGAATTAGATTTTCCTGTCGACTTGGTGCCCTTCGGGGGCAGAAGCTCGTCGCAAATTGGATTTTCCTTGTAGCTCATGCAGATGGTGTCGGGAAGGTTCGATGCGGCCATCTTCATCAGCAGCTGGCCGAATTCGACTGCTTCACGACCGCATTTCTTCTCCACAGCTGCCGTTGTGCATAGGTTGTGCCGAGCGTACACACAGCAAGCGGTTGGAATCCGTTGAGTGTATTTCGCAGCCGTGATACGCTCTAGACCCACCTGAACGTCGTTCAAGCATTTCTTCTGGTCGGGTTGAGTTTGTCCGAGACAGGGAGCATGTTTGAGATAATCTGAAACAGAAGAATTTCCAGAAAATCGGATCATAGCATCATGACATTTTTCATGGAAGTTTCTCTTCGTCTCGCCGAATTTTCTGTCAAGAAGACGAGCTAAAGAATTCTATGGCTGAGTAGGGGTCCAGGCGTGAACAAATACTGGAGTTGGAGGAAAATTCCCCGGCAGAGCACGTTCAGTTTTCCAGGCACTGAGTCGGTTGTACCTTGGGATATTCGTTGCGTATCAACAGGACTGAAGCGTTAATTATTATTGCATGGCAATTTGGAGCTGCGGTGTTGTAAGTTGAGAACGCGCGCGCGCATCGGATGACAACGTCGCCGCCAGCTCGAACGAGCTTCGGCCGCTCGGCTCGCTCGTTCGACTGATCGTCCATCGGCTCGCATACACCGCGTTTTAGTTTACGGATAAGAAACGCTATTTCAGTTGGTAATCATCAGATGGCGGCGGCGACGAATCGCGTAGCCCGGGGCCGAGCACCAATGTTGCGGTGCTACCGCGCCGAAGGAAGGGGCGAGCTTCTACCGAAGTAGACCCGCTCTTGCAGGTCTTTCCTCGCTTACAAACATTCGATGGGGTGTTGACGTAAGAGTGGCCGGCTGACTGGCAAACACGCCATTCCATGCGGACCGTAAATTTTTCTTCATCGATTGTCGCTATCTGCTTGAGGTCAGATGCGCTTTCGCTGTATACTCAATGAGCGTCAAACACTGTCATGGAGCTCATTGACTCTCGGGCGGATCTCTCTCGAAATCAGCATCGGTACCCGTTATGATTCATGAGCAAACTCTTTTCCTGAAACTCGGGAGTCTCGTATGCGAAAGAATTTTTCGCATTCCGTCTTTCGCTCCATGAAGCGAAAGACGGAGGCAAGTCACTCGATGCCCCTCAATAAGCTGACTTTAATCGTTTCAGCCGCACGTCTCCCCCGTTTTCGCCATTTATGGCTCGTGCCACATGCGTGTACTCTTCTGCGGGTCGATGTCTATTATCGGCTGTCACCGAGTCCTTCGAACTCCCGAACTTTCGTCCATGCAAACGCAACAGAAGACTCCGCGACTCAATCTCCACCCTTTCATCCTCGTCAGGAAATGCCGCTGACTCGAGGACCGAGTTTTCTTGTCGGGGAAGTTTGTTGGATCCGAGAAGTGATTGGATCGGAGGAGAAGGATACTCCGAGAATACTTCGGGAGTGATATGGGAAGCTATGATATATAAACATGGACGAGAAGTCGTGTGTAGGTGATATAGCGAGCTAAGCGGAGTGGAGGATTTCCTCCATTCAATCGGGAAAACCCATCTCTGGTGAGGTTTCCGAATCACTCGATTCTCTCATCGTGAAAAGGGTGTACCAATAAGTTCAAGGACAAGCGGCAAGCGATTTACCCTTCTCCTTACAGTTCCTAGTCTCGACACTCAATAGCTCCGGATTATGACACAGTACTGTGCGCTGTCAGCAGCGAAGCTCCGTCACCAAACTCCGTCGGGCTACCAAGAAGAGAGAATGACTTACCCACGCGAATCTTGCTTCCTCGCTCGCAGAACTCTTTCAGGAGCTCGTTAGACCCTTCGGTAGCGAACGACATTAGTTCTCTTTGGAGAGGCGTCGCGCACCTGAGAATAGAGAAGAATTCTGAAGAAGAAACGAATTAAGAGTGCAGAGCGCCATCCCCTTGTATAGGAAACTCTATACGCGACATGAAGGCTGAATGTGAAAAAAAACGTATGCATTAGAAATGGAGTGACCAAATTCAAGGGAAGAGAAGAAGTTAACCTCGAGGAGCTTCGGCTGGTACGCATATGTAGCCGGAGGTCTTTCCTGTACGAGGTTTTTCATTATCGTATCAAGCATAGGTTGATCATGAGAAACAGAAAACAAATTCCTGACATCACGGTCTTGGCAGAAAAATACATCTGAGGGAACGCATTAGTTCCGTCTGAGTAAGTCCTACAACGACTCAGCGTCTTGAGAAAGTCGGTAATAGAACAACTTTTTGTTATTCTGAAGCAAAAACTAAGATTCGAGAAGTCAGCTCCGGAGAGATCCCTGCGCTCATGGAACACGACGAGGCCCTCAATGATGCTTCTATGAGTCTCGAAATTCGATTAAGGAAACATCTCCGCAGGGATGTCACGGACTCCGTGATAATTCCGGAATCAAGTCTCGCATCCTCGAGGAGGAGATGCAGCGTCATGGTGCACATCGTTCCGGAGAGATCGGTCACTGCTGGAGTCTGAGGTCGTTTCTTTCCGACGGGGCTACCGAACTAACCTGTTAGTGAAGTTCTTGAAGCACTGTTGAGCTTCTCCGAGGAATCCACACTGCTTGTCAAGTTCATTGTCAGTCGTCGCAACTCCGCTCGGGTTCTGGTTGAAAAGTAAAAGTGTGGCCGAACACAAATCCAGCTCGCGCAGGTGACAGGACTGTGCAGCTGTCAGCGAACCTGAGCAGAACACTGACTTTAACGACGATTCATCATTAAGCGAAGTGCATAGAAATATTCTGAGAGCTCTTTTTTCCGCGAATTCGGATTACCCCCAAGGTCACGGGGAATCCAATTCGAATTCGTCGGCGCTCCACATCGATCAAGGTCGGGAACACTGCGGGGCTTCAGACTCAGCATGGCCTCATGCGAATTTCGTAGGATATAATCAGTGGATGTCGAGTTTTGGCGTGGTCCGGAGACGAACACGGCAGAATGTAATCATCCCATGATTTCGAATAAATCTTTAATCCCATGAGGGGGAATAAACCACATCTGATGCATCGGAAGCTCGATTTGAGTGGTGTGGAATCGTTGCATTTTTGTCTCCACTCTACGTACCCATAAACGCCACAGCCAAGAGGAGCACCGTGCACTTGTCAACCATTTCCACTTGATGGATATGTAACACGCGGGAGAATGGATTCCGTCCACTTATTTGCGGGATTGAACGCGAACATCGACCTTTGCGCGAAAGTTGTGGTGTTTTATACCAACGCAACGCTCTTACCAGCAGCGGGTGAGGGAGGTTTAGACCTCGACCTTGCTGAGCTTTCCCCAAAAAACTGAAGAAAAACAGATACACACAAGCCTGCCACTCGTCCATCAGGGAATCCCCTAACATTTTGAGTACCATCGCTCGGACGATTCAGTTCTATACAGGGCATACAGAAAAACATAAAGAATGGACACGGCAGATGCAAGGGATGAGCGATTGCGGTGGCAAGACGGAAAGACAGAAGATGGCGCGGAAGACATCAGATGCAGCGAGAATAAGCACAATCGAATAGGTCATTCAACTTCGTGAAGGTACTAAAAGCCGCAATGTAAATTCGGATAATGCTACGATGTCTCGTATGATTGTTCACGTGGCTCCGATTAGACGATCATCGAGGAGTGGATTAATCATTGAATCCAAATCGTGCGGATAGGTCACAAGTATTTTTGGAGAAGTTTCATTATATGAGTCGATAGTGATACATCTGCGACAATCCCTTGAAAACCACACTGTATCCGCATCCCGAACTTCTGAGGATCGATATATTTGGGCACTATAAATCTCACACCCGGTCGGAGTTAAGCCACTCAAGATTGACGATGTCGTCGATCCGGGGAGCCCAGATGCAAGATTCCTCGGGAAGTACAGAATTCTAGGTTTTTCAGAAGAAAGCCGTTCTAAGTTCAACAAGCCGTCAAATCCGCCACTTCTCAGAAATGTTCCAAAGCCGCCTATCACGCTTTGTGGTTCTACACGATGAGTCACTGCGGGCTAAGCACGGGTCCGTTATCTCGGAATCGGCTGACAGGACTCTTTCGCGACTCGGAAACCGAAAGGCGATGGGAGCATCCATTCTTTTAATCGATGTCCATTCATATGAAACCCCATTAGATCTAGGCTTGAGCGCTTTCTCGCTGTCCGAATCGTAGAATTGAGCCGGATAATCTGCCGGGATATATGGGGAGAGCCGCGCTGGAGGAGCCCGAGAACCCGGGCTTCCCGACTACCGGGGGATCGCTTTCCCCGCCAGAATGCACTCATGTTGAATTTCCTGTTTCATAATACATGTGAGTATCGTCATAAACAGTGGAGTGCCGCAAGCTTCGCGTAGTGTCGAGAAGTCGTCCTGCGTGCTCGGTGATATGAAAACCGGAATATGAAACCCGAAACGGATGTCTAGGCTCCTTTAGAGACTCGACGACTGCTCCGCGACTCGTGACCCATACTCCGTCAGGATCGGCCTCAACGGACCCTTGGAGGCCCGTTGATTCGAACCGTCGGGGAGACGAATCCCTTGAGGAACGAGCTCACAGAACGATATATTGGTCCCTCAGCTATGCATATGATTGCACCTTTGTATTTATTTCGTAGCTTCACTTGTTTCGTCGGAACCGAGTCAACGAGCGCAAGTGATTGAGATTCCTTTCTTCTGGATGTGAAACGCACAGAACTCAGATAATGTGTGAATGTGATTCGCAGGATCAACCGCGTGGGATTCTTGGAGATCTTACTCACCTGACCGTCAAAACTTTGGGACCGCGCTGAGCCCAGAAAAATCGAATCTAGGTGCCTTTCATAGGGCCGATGAATATATCTGCCAGCCATAATGGGGTAGCTTTCGCTTTGATAAATATATACACACCAACGAGATCTATAAAATCTCATATCTACCCCGCGTGAAATCTCGATCACCACTAAGTAAGATATAGACACAAACAAGACCGCGTGTAATGGATGACCGATTATCATCAACAGAAAACAAGAGCTGCGAAAGCCCGTTGGTATCAGTGCGAGTGAATTGCCCCAGTCTACGGAGAGTCGAGGTGCCGGGGTGGACGAAGACGAGGCATCATCCGGATTGACTCCAGACCCATCCAAACTCAGGCTCAAGAGCACACCACAGCCAAATATCGTCTGAAGGCGGTGCTTTCGCCAAAGCTGCCACTCGAAGTTTCAGTTTTCCAGAAATAACTGCGAATTCTAGCCTTCACCAATGACCTAATTGCTTACGCTTCGCTTTCCAATCCGACGTTCCGATAGGGACACGGAGTAGCTCGACTGAAAATATTTCTGTCAGCATTGAGGCGGCCCCTGTGATTGAGGCACCACACATAGCGGTTCCTCCTCCGACCGCACGATTTTCCGTCGCGGTCCTTGGAACCCATCTTCGTTCCCAGTATCCGGCTCATTCACGCGATTCAATCACGCGATTCATCGAATTCGATCGTTTCTGGCTCGACCCTTTCGATAAACATCCTTCGACTGGGATTCGCATATGCTGGATGAATGGAAACGAACTGTTGGTTCAGCTCGAATACGTGTTCCCACGAATTGAATGGGGATCCGATTGCTCGGTCCGGAATGAATTGATAGGCGCTCATAATTCCTCATCATAAAGTCATCCCTGGTACCCCCTGAGACCAGAGAGCTACTACCCGTGACTCGAATCAGCAGTTTAGAAGAATGTGCCCGAACTTCGATCTCCCTCCCGATAATCGGTCACGGTATCCCGTCGAAACTCATAACTGAATGGAAAACGTAGACTCGTGATGAGCATCGATGCGTTGCGATGGAGACGTTCGCTCATAATTTTCCCCATAGGAAGCTCCGTAATTGTTACTCTCTCAGAAAAGGATGACACACCGTCCGTGACCGACTCTTAGAAACATTCACGTCTGAGGAGCGTACGAACGCCCGAATGCGTTTGAACTCGGTGGGGATGATGATAAAATCCGACTGGGAACATTCATTTTGTTGCTACGCACTCTTCTGAGCTGAACGTCGTATGGCTTGCCGCGCATCGATCAGCGTTGGTCTTGGGAGAATTCTGAAAAGAGCCGACGATTTATGAGCTGCTCTCATTTTCAATTAACTTTAGATTCTAGATCTCCGAATGCGAATCGGGCGGCATGTCCAGATTTCGGAAGGAGAATGCTCGGCTCCATTCTTTCTGTTGCTATGTCATCTGGAAGTCTCGGTTATTTTCCTCCAGTTGTCTTCTGATTTCTCGCGCTCAACAAGCATCCCTAATGGTTGTGCAGGGCGGTCCGCCCCGTCGGAGGGCGCTTGCGGGTCTGATACAATCGACTGAGGAAGCTCGTCGTGTTTCGAGTGTTTCCCGAACATGAAGCGATTGGAACACGCAGTCTCACATCAGTGTTCGATCCAGGCGTTTCTGTGTACGGGACGGACCGGCGGGGGAACCTAGACGCAAGCGCACGAACGAACGAAACTTGACGCTTGCAACGAAATGAACGAATCCAGTCAGAAATTCTATTCGAAATATTAACGGCCAGCTTGCCGTCCAGCGTGACCACCTCACAAAGAAGCAGCCGAGTGTGGAGACCTTTATCGAAACTTGAGTCGCGTCACAGAAATGAACGCAGCAATAGAATGAGAAACGGTTCTAAACAATGGAAGTAGGAAGTGATCCGATGAACGTTTCTCTGACGGAAATGGTCCCCAGCGGCTTCTAGTCTTGTCCGGTGATGTAGAGTGAGGGAGGTTTAAGAGTCACAGATGACAGTGTTCCGCAGAGGAAAAACATCGATCAAACCGCGAGATTCATGTGGAGATAATCGAGGCAGATATGAATAGATGTTGTAATGCTTATGAAACTATTTAGACCGCAGGGATGGGAAGTTCCAGATGGGTCACGATAATATTTTTCCGAACTCTTGTGTTCCTAGACAGGAGAGATTATCGTGTTCTTCGACGTCAAGCGGTCTGGAAAGAGCTGGAGTTGGATTCCGGGCGCCTCAGCCGGAGGGGACTCCTAGCCCTCCCTCTGCCGGCCAGTGGGGTAGTAATTCGGCATACGTTATTCCGAGAAAGTCGACGGGGCTCTCAGAGACCCTCACACACTTTCCCGAGTGACTTCTCTCATCTGTGATCAGCGGTCGATTCATCGGATGGAAATATCGCGCGAAGAAGTTCCGCTCTCTCTACAGCCAGGTAAGAACATTGCTCGGAGGAGAGGACGATCAAAACTAGAATAGGCTTGAGTCACTCAGCTTGATCAATCGAAGCCGCTTATTTGCAGAAAAGGGCTCCTCTGTCCACTCCCGAAAGCGCTTTGCCGTCACTAGCACCGTCATGAATAAAATGAGCGGAATTATCCCTGCCTAACATTTCATCGTTAGATCAGAACATGAAGAGTCTCGACAATACTCGGATGATTAGCGGTCAGTACGGCTGCTCGCACCATCCTTTCTGATGTCTGAAGACACATGTAGGCATATTCCAACATGTATTCGTGTGCAAAAGAAAAAGGTTGTAGATACTGATGGACAAGTCCACCAATGCGGGCCAGGTCCACACCTCCATTGGTAGTGATTCCTCACGGCTGCTCGATGACTCTCCCGAACTTAGACTGAAACTCTCTATTTATGAAGCTCCCGTGTATACTCTGAGACATATTGTACGAACTAAAATGGTCAGCAATTTTTCAGAAATTGACAACCCGGTTGGCGAAAGGCGACATCTTCGCGGATTATCACTTCGCTAATTCCGGGAAAATCTCTGGGGCTGAGAGAGCGGTAGAAATCGAGCTGCGCCGAGCCGAGCTAAGGGGAAACGACGGCTGTTGACTGGGCTTATTTTCTTCGTCCACCTGAAACAAGCAGTTGGAGTACCGCTGAGCTGACACTAAGCTTTCTCCTCTCCTTGCTTCAACTCTTTCCATCTTTCCCCCTCGCGAGTCTGTATTCAGAGTCGGACTCCCTCACTGATCTCAAGCAGCTTCCGCTTGGGCATCAACAAACTTGCATGAAAGCAATTTGCCTGGAGCCTTCTTAGATTGCCTCAGAGTTGAAGGAACGCGACCGGATTCGAACGGAAGAGGACTCGAGGGCAGTCTCGCGACCCTGCGGAGCTCGTTTCCTCCTCGACTCCAGTGGAGTCCGAGACCCGAGCCTCAGAACTTGAGCAAAGGCCACAAGTCTTCGATACGCGCGTT